TTGTGAGGGAAAAGCGGCCTGGGGGGGGGGGGGACAGAGGGGCGGTGGAAAAAGAGAGGAAAGAAAGAAGACAGAGAGACAGATTGTGTTAGTGCAAGAGAGACAGGTGGTGTTAAGGGCTCTTCACCCAGCCTTAAATTTCTTATGCAAGTATAAACCAGGCCTTTCAAATAGGACCCGTCCACCAAAACACGATATTTAGTACAGCACGTTATACTGAGGACTCAGTTGGCGAGGTCTTCCGTTATAGTCTCCAGTGGCAACTTCCCCTTCCTGTCCTATTGCACATCCAGAAGGTAGAAGCACCCCTTTGTATCAAATGGAACTATGGAACATCAGAGACCTCACACCTGGAGTCCCTGATAGATGACAAATATCAGTTTTATGTGGACGAATCCTTTAGCAAAGTGTCAGAACCATTTCATCCTTTACAACCACATTCTCAGGGTAGGATGGAAAATAAAAGTGAAAAGGTTGGAAAAGACAGGTGTTCTGTCAGACACTTTACAAGGCCCGCTGCCTCTGGAAACTGGAGCAGGCAAAGCCTTCCCATGATGCAACAGGCAAACCACTGCATATACGGGGCAGGCAAACCCTTCCCGTGATGCAACAGGCAGACCACTGCATAACCAGGGCAGGCAAACCCTTCCAGTGATGCTCATTATGCAGTGGTTTGCCTATTGCATTACTGGAAGGGTTTGCCTGCCCTGGTTATGCAGTGGTTTGCCTATTGCAACAGGGTAATTTACACAGTAGCTTTTGGCAATTCAATATAATCGATCTGTCCAGTGCACCGGGGAAGCGGTCATACTTTAAGTTTCCAGGGGCAGCTTAGCTGGAGACAAGAATTTGCAGCTGGCTGCCAGAGCCCTTTGTCCAGGTCGGGAAAACGAGAAAAAATAAGCATTCAGAGGAAGCAAATACAGAAAGAGGCCTGCTTACAGGGTTCTCATACATTCGCATTAAGTGGTTTTTCAATGTGTTGGCCGTTTGGGATTTTGCAGCTCTTTATTACCAGGACTGCTATGCAGCTTTAGATAAAAGGCCCGCTTAAGAAGCTGTAGAGAAATGACTAGCCCCCACCACCCCAAAAGATACCTTATAACGGGGTACAGTATTCAATGCACAAAACCTAGACAGCCCTGAACATATTACAGCTATATCATGAGGAAATGTGTACACTAAGGACGGAGCTCAACGTCTGCTGAAGACTTCCACAAACTAGTCAGCTCTATACATGGCGGAGTCCTATGTACAGAATACATACTCCACCAGTGCTCCCTCCAGTGGACTAGAGGAGGTATTACAGCCAACACTGTTATCTGCACATACAGGAAGCCAGGGTGTCACACACATGACATGGAGTAATTGTGACACGTGTTCACCGATAAGCCCGCCACGGAGGACACACCTGTTTCACGCAGGTTGTTACATGGATTTTAGATTATATGCAGTCATATGGGCAAGAACATGACTACTTTTCCTTATCAGTTCTAATAGGACTTCAGCAGTGTTCGTGGCATTTCCGTGTGTAAGATTTGAGGCTGGAACAATAAGTAATTTGCCTTTTGCTTTGCAAGGTCAGACTGGTGTTCCCAGGTCACAAAGGGTACAAAATATTTGCAACCCCCACCTAGTAAATGTCTTCTGTTTTAAAGGGCAGGTTCACACCATTTTCTGGACCAGATCTGGCCTAAATCTGGTGCAGGAAATAGTGTGAACCTGCCACAGTTCCAGTGCATTCCAGACCAGACAAAATGAGACACGCTGTTTTTCTGGTCTGGAACGGACTGCGCCAGTTTGAAGAGAGGCCGGAAATAACCTAGGGATACATTAGGGTGCATTTTGGGTCCGGAAACAATCTCATCTGGTCTGGATGTGGTGAAAATGGGCCCTAAGACATCTTCCTGTGTCTCATTCCATTATATATCCCCTAACTATTATTCCTTATTTCAAGACAGTGGGCAGAGCAACGCAAATCATTCCTTTACACCCCCTGAGCCAGATACACATGCAGAATCGCTGGTGTATAGTGCAGATTGCCCCATTTAATATGACTTCCACCTTTTTTTCCCCTCCGGTTACATTTCAGTACGGCCGACCTCCTACGGTCAACTTCCTGTCTTCATGCACTCCAGCGATGGCTACATGGGATTTCTGAGGATGGGTTTCCCTGATGGTGACAATGGAGAACCATGCCTGTGTAATGTGTTGATTTGGTAGTTTCCACTGGGAAAGCATGAGAATGCTGGAACGCAACACAGACAGGGACAGCGCGTGGTCACCCTATAAAAGGAAGTGCCCAAATAACAGGAAGTGCCCAATTAAAAGCTATTCATGGCAGGATCAGCAGGTATTTTATTATATGCTGCAGACTCAAGATTGAAAATATATTTTCGTGGCTAAAATGACAAAGGGCTGTAGCGTTGGCACAGTAAGAGACGTTTTGTTGACAATCTGACCTGAGAAAATCAATTTTCTGCAGCAATGGAGCGCCTCATGCTTGAACAGAAGGATTCTGCTTACTACGTGGAATCAGACTGACATACCTAGAGCTGAAAATGTCCAACCCAGCACGTCAACACCAAAAGACAGGAGAACTAAAGACTTAAGGCGATGCTTGTACCAA